TCTGTTTTAGTTTAAGGTATATGGTTTTTGGTGAATGCAAGAGAGGGTTTTTATAGCTGAACATATTGTAGTAACAACATAAATTATGTTGTTGCATGAAAATCAGTCAACACTTTACAATGTTTTTGGAAAGGGCACATTTAAACGTGTTGACTCATTTTCATGCAAGATAGTAATTGTTAGTACAATATAATTATTTTTAAAAACATACTTTAGCTTATACAAAAACAGATTCTTAATTCTGAATTTCTCTTTACTTATGAGATAAAAATTTAAACTACAATAACTTCGCCAAATATGTAATTAAAGTACATTTTCTTTTAATAAAGCATATATTTTCATTCTAATAAAAAGTTTAACTAACTAAAAAATTGTCTCTTCTTAAGAATGATAAGCATAAATCGAAAAAGAGTATAAAATTTGAAGATGACAAAAAAGAAAAGAAACTTTTGTCTACTATAGTTTATGCTATCAAAACGATATTAACGGGTAAGAAAAAAGTACCCAACAAACCGGAATGGTCAATATGCAACATAAATCGAAAACCGGTAAAAAGTTTTAAAAGTGAAAAAAGAAAAGAAAAGTTTAACTACTAGTTTATGCTATGAAAATAATACAATAAGTTAAAAAACAAATTGTACCTATTAGATTAAAATTGGCTTTGCGAAAGAATGTCACGCATAAATAAATAAAAAATAGTATAAAATTTTAAAGGTGCACAAGAGAAAAGAAAAGGTTGACTAATATAGCTTATGATAGAAAGAATACCAACCGGTCAAAAAAAAAAAACAAATACCTAACAAATCGAATATGGTCTTTGCGTAAAGAATGACACGCATAAATCGAATATAGTATGTAATTTAATTTTGGAAGATGACATAAAAAATAAAGTTTGACTAATTATATAGGTTATGCTATAGAAAGGAAACTACCCGGTCAAAAAACAAAATAGTACCTAACAGGCTAACAAATCGAAAATGATTTCTTTATCCGAAAATGAAACATCAATCGAAAAATGTAGATCTTAAAAATGGCAAAACAGAAAAAAATATTTGACTACTATATTTTTTTTTTTGTAATGTCTAACTAATATAGTTTACTAGGTGGCGCGAGATAAAAAAATATTCTCAATCTATCAAATCACATGCGAGATAAATAAAGAGTATTTAATATAATAACTAATATAAATCCTGAAACTTAAATTGGCCTTTTGGATTCAAAATAACATTTACTATATCAAAATAATTGATTTTGTTCAATTTAGTATTAGAATGAAAATGATATTATTTGAATCTGTATAATTGTAGATAGACAATTTAAATCTAACACAGTTACAATTACAATAATTATTCCCATTTATATCAGTTAATTAATCTCATTCCAAGTTTTTGAACTCTACTTGATAACAGACACAACTCTTATTCTTCGTCGTATTTCTTCTGCTCTCTAAAAAAGCTTATTCCCAAATATTACCTAACTATAACTGAAACTCAAAAATATATAATTCATAAACATTTAATAATTTGTTTGGCTGACTTTAAAATTGATTAACTCACTTTTACGATTATTTATTTTAGAATATATATACTTTGACAAATTGATAATTATGATTTTTTTTTTCAATTTGCAATGCACATATTTAATATGATTGAATGCCTTCTAAAATAAATAAATATATATATAGAGTTATTGTTATTATTTGGTGTGAAGCTCAAGTTTTATATGTATAACTTAATCAATTGCATTATCTACATAGTAAAATATCAAATATATCTTGTTTTTATTTAAGAAATTGTTTTCAAGAAAAAAGATTAATATATATTACACAAACGATTTGCATATGTTTGTATGAATTGAATATGATTTAATTATGTAGTTTATAGAGAAAATTAAGTTTCATATTGTATGATTTAGTTGATTTTATGTAATTTAAATTATTGCCTTAAAATTAAATTTACTATTACAAATTGGTAGTTATGACTTATGACTTATGAGCATTCAATTTCTAATTAATTGTTTTCTCTGTGATTACCAAAGAAAAATGTTTAAAATCATTGACTTAATAATAATTATTATTATTTTGTGCGAAATGACGTAAACAAAAAAATTGTGTGAAACTCAAATTTTAATTTCGTGAATAAATTTATTTTATAATGTTTTTCCTTGACATCATTTAAATAGTAAAATATCAAATATTTTGTATTATTTTGTCTTAGAAAAATATACATATACATATTACAGATAAGATTTACATATATTTGCATGAATGGAATGTAATTTAATTTAATTTTTATATGAAATAAATATTTGATGAAAATTGATAATGAAATTGATAATGTAATGGTAAAGAATTAATGTGGTATTTATTGATGAAAATTATGTTTATTGATTCTAACCTGTGTTAAAAAAAAGCGGCAATTTCACAGATTAATTGGTTGGAAAATCGTGGATTGGTGGACCACCGAGGAGATTCACGGAAATCGGAGGTCCGTTTTGGTCAACCAAACTTTGACTCAGAAATTTTTGAAAAATCTTGTTTTGTTCGAATTGGTGTTCGAAATATGATTCTATTGGTTGGATCTATAAATATGTGGGTGTCGAACTCGGGTGGCACAAACAAAGTAGTAGCACGTTAACCACTTTAGCTAACTTAATATATTACCCAATCTATACAAATGTAGTACTTATATAAAAATATTTGAAAAATATGTAAAATATAGTCAAAATTTTATCTTCGTTTAATCCCCGCTTAATCTCCGTTTTTTTAATCCCAAATCCCGACCCGACCGCCCGATTAACAATTTCCGATGTTTTGAACACAGATTCTAACTGAAAAAAAAAATATACATGAAAAAAAAAGATGTAAAATTAAAAAAAAAAAAAAAAACACTGAAGTGAGCAAAAATGACACATGTCAGCCTCTCATGAAGTGAGAAAAATGATAACTAGATCATATTAGAATAGATATATAGATAAATGTTTATGCTAGACAAGTTCAAATAGATTTTCTTCATTCACTTTAATAACTTGTTTTTCATTTTGCTGATTTTCTGTAAATAAATCATAAAGTTGTAGAAAGGCATTTGATTCATATCCATTTGAACCTTCATTCTAATGATTTTTTTCAGTAATATGTCATTCATTTGTGGCTCATTTTGTGAAACATTTTCGAGGAAGTTTCAAAACTACATACTTTTAGGTGTCAATTTTCAAAAATACACTGTTATGGTGTTCATTTTCAAAACTACATTTTTTCATTGTGTAAAAGAACTATAAATCCTAATATAGAAACCCTAAACCCTAAAATTTAACCTTGAACCCTTAAATCTAAAATTTAAACCCCAAATCTAAACCTAGTAAGGATTAGTGAACCCAAACATATATACATTAAAATTAAGAAAAAAAAATGTATTTTTGAAAATTGCCATACTAGAAGTGTAGTTTTGAACATTTACACCTTAAAAAATGTATTTCTTAAAATTTCTCAACATCTTTTGTTAATTCATTTGAAGAAGATATTTGGTTAACTTTTATTCAAATAAACCCGAGATAAAATGGAATACTCCTCTATGTGATTAACCTATCAGCAATATGTCCTTAAACTAATGATGTAAGAAATAATTTATTCCCTATTAGTGTGGTTTTGTAGTTAGTAGTTTTAAGGAAGTGTTATAATTAACGTATTTGGTAACCAATGAACTAAGAGATTAAGAAGTTTAATGCTAATTGAGCTAATGAGGGATATATGTCACACATACATGAATCAAGAACTATTAAGTGACAACATTAAGGTTTATGTGTCACTCAAAGACACATTAAGGTATTATGTGTCACTTAGTTGCACTATTAGGTTTGTGACTCACTTAGTGGCACCACTAAAAAGTTAGGTGTCATTCATGTAATGTGTTAAAGGATTAATCATCAAACACTTGTCACTTATTCCTTTAATCTCAATTTTGATGGACATATTGAGATTAAAAACTAAAAGAAAATCTGATGAGCATGTTGGTCCTCTCCTCCCCTATAAATAGATGTCTTTGGTCCATCACAAAGACACACCAAGAAAAACACAATACTTAGAGTATAAAGTTTGTAGGGAAGAGGAGAGAAACCAAATCTCACACTTAAAGTAAGGCTTTCATCATCGAGGCTGGAAACCTTTCTAAACACTTCTTTCTATCATAATGAGTGGAGGTATTCTCTTAATCATCTTTATTTTATCATGTGATTGTCTTGATGTTTAAAGATCTTGGGGTTCATGTTGAATAAAGTTTATATACATGTTTAAATGATATTTTACATGCATGATGATTTTCTAACATGTGGTATCAGAGTTAATGGTTTTCCAAAACATCTTTTTAATTCATGAAGAATAAGATAATTGTGTTTAAGAGGATTTAATGAATTTTCTCATGATAAATTTACTGTAAAATGAATTTTGCATGAAAATTTGTTATTGCGTGATTTTGAATCTATACATAATTGATATAGATTATTAAAGTGAAAATAAAGGATTAAAGATATCATCACAGTGATTTTGCCTTATAAAAAATTTATATAAAAAGTGATATGTAAATGTGTAAAGTAAGTATATCCACAGATAACTTAGCTTTTAAATTACATCACTTATAAATGATTTTTTGAATAATATAACCTTAAAAAGAATTATCATGACTACCCACATGAGCACCATAATTTCTTGTCATATGCATTCAATAATTGAATTATGATATGTTGTGTTTTGAGTCCTAATTAGGACTTGTCATATATCTAAAATTGCAGCATCATTTCCTCATCATTTGTCATCAATGGCATATGTTGTTCATGTCCTCAATGGAAACAACTTCTCAGAATGAAAAGAGAAAGTTGAATTCACATTAGGAGTACTAGATTTGGATTTGGCACTTCGTGAAAAAGAGCCAAATCCACTAACTGATGATAGTATTGAGGAAGAAAAGGCTCTCCATAAAGATTGGGAGAAAGCAAACAAATTAAGCATCATGTTCTTAAGGATGACAATAACAAGTAACATTAAAACTTCCCTTCCGGATGTTGATAAAGCTAAGACTTATTTGACAGCAATAGAAGAACGGTTTAAGACTGAAGATAAATCCCTTGCAGGGAAACTTATGGCAGATCTTACAACCATGAAGTATGATGGGACAAGGTCTATGCATGAACATTGCATTGAAATGACCAACCTTGCAGCTAAACTAAAGAATTTAGGGATGAGTGTGGACGATTCATTTCTCGTCCAGTTTATCCTAATTTCCCTTTCTCCTCAGTATGGACCATTTCAGATCAGTTATAATACCACAGATGAAAAGTGGACATCTAATGAATTGACTGGAAAGTTGGTCCAAGAGGAGTCAAGGCTTGGCCGTGAAGGTATTAAAGTTGCCCATTATGTTCAAGGAGCTGGATCTAAAGCTGGGAAAAGGCATCAAAAGAGCCATAAAAGAGCACCACCCAACATGAGCGATTCCAATCAACATAACCAGAAGAAAAAGGCAAAGAAAGATGATAGGTGCAACTTTTGCAAAAAGGTTGGACACTTTCAGAAAGATTGCACTAAAAGAAGAGAATGGTTCGAAAAGAAAGGTAATCCTATGGGTTCCATAAGTTTTTTTGAATCTAATCTTGCTCATGCTTCTTCAAAAACCTGGTGGATAGATAGCGGTGCTAATGTACATGTAACAAATTCCGTGCAGGGATTCCTTACGATCCAAACCATAAAGTCAAGTGAAAACTACTTAATGATGGGAACTCGAGACAAAGCGCCAGTTGAAGCTATTGGCACTTATCGTCTCATTTTGGATAGTGGGTTTTGTTTGGATTTATTTCAAACTTTGTATGTACCTTCTATTTCCCGTAACTTAGTTTCTGTAAGTAAACTTGATATGGCTGATTTTAACTCTACTCAAGGAGATGGTTTTTTTAATCTATTTCTGAACTCTAATCGAATTGGTTCAGGAATATTAGTTGATGGTCTTTATATGTTAATACTGGCTGATCAACAATTTGAAACACATGACTCTCCATACTAAAAGTAGATTTAAACGTAAAACATGTACTAATGATTCATACTTTTTGTGGCATAAAAGATTGGGACATATTTCCATTGAAAGAATTAAAAGATTGGCAAAAGATGGAATCATTCCAAATCTTTATTTTACCAATACTAAAGAATGTATAGATTGCATTAAGGGTAAGCAAACTAAACATATTAAGAAAGAAGCCGCAAGAAGTACACAGCTTCTTGAAGTCATACATACAGATATTTGTGGACCATTTGATGTTCCAACTTTTGGGGGAGAAAAATACTCTATTACCTTTGATGATTATTCACGGTATTGTTATCTCTATCTATTGCATGAAAAATCTCAATTTGTGGATGTTGTACAAGCATTCATTACTGAAGTTGAGAGGCAATTAGATGAAAATCATTAGGTCAGATAAAGGTGGTGAGTTTTATGGCAAATATGATGAAACAAGACAACATCCTGGACCTTTTGCCAAACTTCTCCAAAAATTAGGAATCGTTGCCCAATACACAACGTCTGGTTCTCCATGGCAGAATGGTGTGGCAGAAAGGTGTAATCTTACATATATGGAAATGGTTAATGATGAGTCGGATTAACTTACCAATATCCTTGTGGATGGATGCATTACGTACCGCAGTATATATCTTGAATAGGGTTCCAAGCAAATCAGTTCCAAAGACTCCCTTTGAACTATGGAAAGGCTGGAAACCCAGTCTGTCTCATCTTCATGTTTGGGGATGGCCAGCTGAAACAACAATATATAATCCACATGAAAAGAAATTAGATTTCAGAACAGTAAGTGGTTTCTTTATAGGTTACCTTGAGAAATCAAAAGGATATAGGACTTATTGTCCTACCCATAGTACGAGAATTGTAGAAACCAATAATGTCAGATTCTATGAAGATGCGATATTAGTGGGAGTGATAAAGTTAAAGAAGTGATCATTCAAGAAATAAGGGTAAATATTCCTTTACCCTTAGTTCATAAAGATGGGAACCCTTCTGTTGTTGAACCGTTAAACAACGAGGAAAACCCGGTAAATGATCACCCATTCCATGATGAAAATTTCGTCGATAATGATCATGAAGCACAACAAGAATTAGCATTAAGAAGATCAACTCATACAAGAAGATCTGCTATTTCTGATGACTATGTGCTTTATCCAGTAGAATCTATAGAATTGAATATTAAAGATCCGGTTTCTTATTCACAAGCCATGAAAGATATTAACTCTGATAAATGGATTGATGCCAGTAAAGAAGAAATAGACTCAATGGTTAAGAATGGAGTTTGGGACATTGTTCCATTGCCTAAAGGACACAAAGCGGTCGGGTGTAAGTAGGTCTTTAAGATCAAACTCAATTGTAATGGCAATGTTGAACGATATAAAGCCAGACTTGTGGCCAAAGGGTTTAATCAAAAAGAAGGCATTGTTACAATGAGACCTTTTCTCCTGTGTCAAGAAAAGATTCTCTCAGAATTATATTGGCGTTAGTAGCTCAATATGATCTTGAGTTACATCAAATGGATGTGAAAACTACCTTTAATGAAGACTTAGAAGAAGAAGAAGTCTACATTTGTCAACCTGAAGGCTTCATAATTGAAGGTCAGGAAAACATGGCTGGTCTGCAAACTAAAGAAATCAATATATGGACTGAAACAAGCTTCGAGGCAATGGTATCTAAAGTTTGATGAAATCATTTCGAAATTCGGTTTCAAAGAAAACGCAGCGGATCCATGTACAGTAGAAACTCTATAAATTAATAATGTTAGGAACATAATATTTTATTAATTTAGCGAATTATTAATTTATTGAGAGATAATTTGAATCAAAAACTTAGTTTGGGACCGGAAAATTATATTGATTAATGGAGTTATTAATTTATCGAGTATTAATTTATAGAGTTTCTACTGTATATACCTCAAGATCAGTGGGAGTAAGTTCATATTTTGGTACTGTATGTTGATGACATTCTGTTGGCCAGTAGTAATCTTGGTCTATTACATGAGACTAAGATGTATCTCTCTAAGAATTTTGAGATGAAAGATATGGGTGAGGCATCCTATGTGATAGGAATTGAAATATTCCGTGATAGATCACTTGGAATTTTAAGATTGTCTTAGAAAACATATATTGACAAAATTCTTGAGAGATTTAGTATGATGTCATGTTCTTCTAATAATGTTCCTATGCATAAAGGTGACAAGCTTGACCTTAAGTAATGTCCTCAGAATGAAATGGAACAGAAAGAAATGCAAAATTACCTTTATGCATCTTTTGTGGGAAGTTTGATGTATGCACAGGTCTGTACAAGACCTGATATTAGCCATGCAGTCGGTATGTTGGGTAGATTTCAAAGTAACCCAGGACTTGCTCATTGGAAAGTTGCAAAGAAGGTGTTGAGATATCTAAAAGGAACAAGAAATAACATGTTGACATATCGAAAATCAACACATCCATATATGGTTGGATTTTCGGACTCAGATTTTGTGGATGCCATGATTCTAGGCATTGCACTCTTGGCTATGTGTATCTCCTTTGCGGAGGTGCCATTTCATGGAAAAGCCAAAAATCGCAGTTGATTTACACATCTACTATGGAGGCTGAGTATGTTGCATGTTATGAGGCTTCGATTCAGGGATTATGGTTGCGGAACTTCGTCTCCGTGTTTAAGGCCTTAAGTTTTGTTGACAAACCCTTGACTCTTTACTGTGACAATAAAGCTGCAATCTTCTTCTCTAAACATGATAGGATATCTAAAGGAGCCAAGCATATGGACCTTAAGTATCTATCACTGAAGCAAGATGTTAAAAGAGAAAAGTTTGTCATTGAACATATAGGCACTAAACTCATGGTTGCAGACATATTTACAAAAGCATTACCTCCTAAGACATTTAAGAAGAATGATGAAAGTATGGGTCTTGTGGATAGTTTTTAATTATGTCTGTTTATGTAAGTTTATATATAATCATGACTTGAGCTCTAATGTATGTTAATGTTAATTACTTTTACATATTTTGTATATTCTGTATTCAATGTGCATATACATTATTGTTTGTTGAATTATAGTAACAGAATATGTCTTTAAAGACATAAAAGAGCATTATGAAAACTTTTGTTTATAGTCTACCTATGAAGATAATCAATGTAAAAGTACATAGAAGGGATCATGTTGCAAAATAATGTGTAATCACCATGATTCTCATTGACTATTGGATTAGCTAAGATATTAATGATGACCAAATGAAAATATATTATAACATCTTATGCTGGCTTTATGTTTTCCATAAGTAAAACTATACTATAGACCAAGTGGGAGAATGTAAAGAATAATTGATTCCCTATTAGTATGGTCTTATAGTTAGTAGTTTTAAGGGAGTGTTATAATTAAAGTATTTGATAACCAATGAACTAAGAGATTAAGAAGTTTAATGCTAATTGAGCTAATGAGGGATATGTGTCACACATACATGAATCAAGAACTATTAAGTGACAACATTAAGGTTTATGTGTTACTCAAAGACACATTAAGGTATTATGTGTCACTTAGTTGCACTATTAAGGTTTGTGAGTCACTTAGTGGCACCATTAAAAAGTTAGGTGTCATTCATGTATTGTGTTAAAGGATTAATCATCAAACACTTGTCACTTGTTCCTTTAATCTCAATTTTGATGGACATATTGAGATTAAAAACTAAAAAAAAATCTGATGAGCATGTTGGTCCTCTCCTCCCCTATACATAGATGTCTTTGGTCCATTACAAAGACACACCAAGAAAAACACAACACTTAGAGTATAAAGTTTGTAGGGAAGAAGAGAGAAACCAAATCTCACACTTAAAGTAAGGCTTTCATCATCAAGGCTGGAAACCTTTCTAAACACTTCTTTCTACCATAATGAGTGGAGGTATTCTCTTAATCATCTTAATTCTATCATGTGATTGTCTTGTTTAAAGATCTTGGGGTTCATGTTGAATAAAGTTTATGCATGTTTAAATGATATTTTACATGCATGATGATGATTTTCTAACAAATGACACATATTCATGGCACGATATTAGTTCCGTTTGAGGTTATAACGAGAGTTGTGCAGCTGAAATCGACATATACATTTTTCAAAGGAAAAACAATCTCACACAATATAAGTTCTTATGTTTCCGACTGGAAGTACTTTGAAAATTTTGCTTTTGTCAAATTATGTCTTTGGGAAAACAGAAACAACGCAGTTGCATTATGTAAATTTTACCATAACGAAATCGGTAAAAAAAAAAAGTATCTAACAAATCAGATATGCTCTATGCGTAAAGAATGACACGCATAAATCAAAAAATAATATGCAATTTAATTTAAAGGTGAAAGAAAGAATAAGTTTGACTAATACAGTTTATGCTATGGAAAGAAAATTACCTGTCAAAACAAAATAGTATCTAACAAATCGAAAATGGTCTTTACGCAAGAATGACACATAAATCGAAAAATGTAAATCTTAAGAAATTGCAAAAATGAATAAAAAAGATTTGACTAATATATACTACTTTTTTCTAACCTCTAACTAAGCGTCTAAAAGTTTTTTTTTTTTTTTTAAGATCTGAAATCTCGCCTCTACTATTATCCATCTGTGTTCTTGATTTATTCTTGTATCAGTTGTCTACTTGTCTTGTTGGACTAATTGAGGTTCCTCCAAAGTGTTGGGTTTATTAGAACAATGAACCATTAAGCATTTTCGTACAATATAAAGCACTATTCGATATGTGTGTGGGGACGTGACGGAATATCTAAACTCTCAGGTAAACACTCAAGATTTCTGCCAAAACGGAGTTGTTGGAAATAATTTCTCACGGGATACGGAAAGAGTATGGGAAAGACCACCAATTGGATGGTTAAAATACAACTATGATAGTTCTTTCCATAACCGGGAAGAAAGATCGTCTGCTGGATGGATCATCAGAGATGAAAATGGATTTTACAAAGGATCTGGTCATGCTAAGGATGACAAACCGAAAACAGCTCTGGAAGGAGAACTGCAAGCCTTGGTTATTGCAATGCAACATGTATGGATCAGAGGTCAATTCGAAAATCATATTCGAAGGAGATTGCAAAGAAGTTGTGGATTTGGTAAATAATGTCTCGCTAAACTTTGGAGTATACAACTGGATTTTTCGTGAGGTCTGGAATTGGAAGAACAAGTTTGATGAAATTCTATTCACTTGGGTGCCTCGAAATGGAAACAGAGTTGCAGACTGTTTGGCGAAACATAGGTCAATATCGGTGCATAGTTCTATGTTTTATTGTAACGTTCCCTATTTTCTATCTGATGTAATCCACAATGATACTTTGGCTTTAAATATATATATATATATATATTTGAGTTCATACGAAACATACAATGTAGGTTTTCGATTCATCAGCATATTTATCAATATTAATCATCATTTACAATGTAGGTTTTATAACAAATCTCTAGTAGACTTACTATAAGGTATCAGATCGCCAACTAGTAACCACCACTATCCTCATGTATAAGGTATTTGCTACTTTCAATGTCTTCATGAACCAGACTCACTCGGCTTAACAAGGAGAAACCAGACTAACAAAACCACCTCAGCCATCGGCCTAAGGACCAAGCTAACTCCTGCCACTAACCATACTTGTCAAGTTGGGGTCGGTCCAAGTGGTCCAAAATCTTGAAATGGCCAAACCTACACATCATTTGATACCACAATTTAGCCACATTGATTACCAAACAAATGGAAATGACACTTTAGAAACGCAGAAAGGAGTGAATAAGCTTATATACCCTCCAAAGCACTTTGCCTTGAACAAGACCGTAAGGTATAGGACCAAACATTCTCGAGTCTCTCGAGTTATGAGTATAGTCACCTTGCACCCAAACATGTCCTTTAGGAACCTAAAACCAATAGAAATGTCAACAGATCAAATCACCATATACACACATCTTTCTCATCCTCATGTGAAGATTCAAAAGGAAAACTGTTTCTGCTCATAATAATAGCATTTACATTGCTTAATTATCAATTCCACAGATACAAACAGTTCAAAGCTTAACAAGACTCTAAACTTGAGATCAAATTGTCATTCTAGTTAGTACCAACATTATCAAAAGATAACAACTCTGTTTACCCAATTTCACCAAAAAATGAAGCTAGTTTGGTTCGAATGAAGCATATTCGAATCTGATTCATAAGCAAGATGAAAGGAGAAAAGGTTAATTGACAATATACCACGATGGTTTTTGATTGATCCTTGTTCCCTGGAGCAAGGACAAAGCTTATACAATCTCCTTCAATTCCAATCACTCTCTTGATCGGAGTCTTGTTAGGGTCTTCTGGAGATTGAAACACAACGATATCTCCACGACTCAGTTTCTGAGACCTCGCGGAGATTCGTTCCGCCAGTAAGATATTTCCCAAAGGATGAAGCGTCGGGACCATGCTCGGACCAAAACACTGCTCAAACAGAAAAAAGAGAGACATATCGATGAAATCAACATTGAGATTGACTTAGATTAACAAAGAGAAGAAATGATTTGATGTGACTCACGTAAGTTGGAAAGCCGAGATAGTTTGTGGTTACATGGAGGACGCAGTAGGTCTTCGCGAGAAACGCGCCGCTTTACATGGCTTGTCGTGAAGCTATGTTCCAGAACGAAGACGACGAAGAACCCATTGCCGGGTTTCTGCAACTGTATCGAACGAATCGAGATTCAACCTAATCGAACGAGTTGAGACGACGAATCGCGAAATTAAAAAAACGAGTACTTCTCAAATCCGGTTTACAAAATAATTTAGTTTAATTATCATCAGAAATTGCAACGTTAAAACCTGGTTTATGCGTTACGGCACTTACAATGTGATGGCCCGGAATAGGAGAGAGGTGGTTGTTGCTCAAAAGACATGATGAGAGTCCATCTGATAACCGAAGTAAACCGAAGTTACGGTTTAAGAAGAAATGTAGAGGAGGTTGTTGCTCAAAAGTCAAAATACATGATGAGAGTCAATTCGATAACCGGAGTAAACTGCAGTTACGGTTAGAGATAGACATGATGTGGGCGTTACCATTTCTTCTAAATTACTGGATTTGTCTTTGTACGCCGTGTGGTAATTATGGAGATTACTTATCTCTTTCTTCTATATATATATGACACCATTGTATTTGAACATATGAGGAGAAAATTTATGTAAGTTGTTTGTAAGTCTTCGAGAACCAAAGTGTTTTTGTTGTTCTTGATTCATATTGGGAATAAGTGTGATATAGTTAAGTTTCCTATTTCATTATGTTAGGATAATGTCAAGTTTCTTTGTTTAAAGGAGTCTAGGGTTTCCTACTCAAAGACGTGTTGTATAAATACCCAAGTTTGGGAGAATGAATGGACAAGTCAGTTAAACACATTATTCTACATGGTATCAGAGCAGAAGATCTTCAAACCTTAAATTACGTTTGATCTTTCGCTGTTCTTTGCGATGGCTGGGGAAGAAGAAAATACTCCAGCTGGTGGTTCCGGTGGAACCAAGTCGCTAGTGGTGTAACAGGTTCCAGTGGAACCCTAGGCGTGTTGCCTCTTGCCGGTAGTGTCTCTGTGTCGCCGTACACGTTGTCGGCGTCAGATAACCCAGGTGCGTTAATAACCTCTGTTCAGTTGAATGGAGAAAACTACAATGAATGGGCATCGGAGATGCTTAATGCTCTTCAAGCTAAACGCAAGATGAGTTTTATTCACGGTACTCTTCCGAAGCCTGCGAGTGGTAGCCCGGATATGGAGAACTGGCTAACGGTCAATTCCATGATCGTTGGTTGGATTAGGTCTTCGATAGAACCTAAAGTACGTTCGACGGTGTCGTATATCACGGATGCTCATCTCCTGTGGACTGAGCTTAAGGAGCGTTTCTCAGTGGGGAATAAAGTGCGTATACACCAAATCAAGTCTCAACTTGCGTCATGTAAGCAGGACGGTCAGACTGTTTTGGAGTATTATGGTCGTCTTGCTATGTTGTGGAAGGAACTACAAACTTATCAGCCGGTGATTTCGTGCTCTTGTGGAGCAGCTGGCGTACTTGCCAAAGAAAAAGAAGAAGAAAAGCTGCACCAATTTGTTATGGGATTGGACGATGCTCGGTTTGGTGGTTTGTGTACGAGCATCGTAGCTTCTGATCCTTTGCCTAGTCTTGGTGAAGTCTATGCAAAGATTGTGCGAGAAGAGCAACGTTTGACATCAGCGAAAGCTCGCGAGCAACAGCAAGAGGCGATCGGATTTGTCGCTCGCCGAGAAGAGGTCCTTGCTCCTGTTCGTCCTAGCCAAACTGAGACACGTTCAGACTCAGCTAATTCTGTTCGTCGTGATCGCAATGCTCTCTGCAGTCATTGTGGACGTACCGGTCATGACAAGAAGGAATGTTGGCAGTTAGTTGGCTTTCCCGAGTGGTGGTTGGACAGAAACAAGAATAAGTGGAGGTCGTGGAAGAGGAGGAGGTCGCAATGGTTACAACAACCCTGGTCGTGGTCGTGGTCAGGCCAATGCTGCACACGCCACAAGTTCCAACGCTTCTTCTTTTCCGGAGTTTACAGCCGACCAAGTGGAAGGCTCTATCCAAGTTGATTCAAGAGAAGTCTGGTGAGGCGAATCCTGACAAGTTGTCTGGTAAGAATACTTCGGTGATGTTATTCTAGATACCGGCGCCTCACATCACATGACAGGGAACCTTTCTCTGTTACGGAACATCGAGAATATTATTCCATGTACTGTGGGGTTCGCGGATGGTGGAAAGACTCTCTCGCTTAGCAAAGGATCTTTGACGATATCATCTAAGCTCACGTTACATAATGTCTTATATGTCAAAGATCTTAATTGCACTTTGATTTCAGTTTCCAAGTTACTGAAACAAACCGGTGGTGTAGCTATGTTCACTGATACTCTTTGTGTTTTACAGGACCGTTTCACGAGGACTTTGATTGGAGCCGGTGAGGAACGTGATGGGGTCTACTATTTTAAGGATGTTATGGCAGCTAGGATACATCGAGCAGATGCAGCAATGGACTCTGCTTTGTGGCACCAGAGGCTAGGACATCCTTCGTTTTCAGTGCTTTCTTCTTTGCCATTGTTTTCTGGTTCTTCTAGACCTGCTTGTTCTGGTCCGTGTGACGTTTGTTTTAGGCTAAGCAGACTAGAGAGGTGTTTCCAGACAGTATTAATAAAACCACTGAATGTTTTTCACTTATTCATTGCGATGTATGGGGTCCATACAGAGTTCCATCTTTCGACTGGTGCTGTTTATTTTCTTACAATTGTGGATGATTTTTCTCGAGCCGTGTGGACATATCTTTTACTGAGAAATCGGAGGTTAGCAAGGTTCTCAAAAACTTTATGGCTTTTACAGAGAGACAATTTGGAAAGACAGTCAAGATGGTTAGAAGTGATAATGGCACAGAGTTCATGTGTCTTTCGTCGTTTTTTGCGAAAAAGGGATTGTACATCAAACTTCATGTGTAGCCACTCCGCAGCAGAATGGTCGTGTCGAGAGGAAGCATAGACACATTCTTAATGTGGCGCGCGCTTTGTTTCAGAGTAACTTGCCAATCAATTCTGGGGAGAGCTATTCTCACTGCGTCGTATCTCATTAATCGAACACCATCTGCCATTCACTTGGCCGTTCCCGTATGAGATTCTATAAGGTGAGAAACCCTCTTATGATCAGTTAAGAGTTTTTGGTTGTGAGTGCTACACATCGGACCACACGCGACAAAGATAAGTTTGGCCAGAGAAGTCGTCGGTGTGTGTTCTTAGGTTATCCAGTTGGAAAGAAAGCATGGAAGGTGTATGATATTGAAAGGAACGAGTTTGTTGTCTCTCGTGATGTCATTTTTAAGGAAACTGTTTTTCCTTACTCTAGTGAGATTCCTTCTCTCTCAGTCGTCACGAGTGACCGGTGTTGATGATGACTGGTTCGTTGCTCCCACGGTTGTAAGGGGGAGCGTTGTTCCGCTTATGCCTGAAAGGGGGAGCTCTGCTGCAGCTGGAACAGAACATCCACAAGAACCTGTTTCAGTCCAACAACAGAATCAGAACATCCACAAGAACCTGGTTCTGTAATTGCAGTTGATTCCTCCCCTAATAATGTTACTACACAGAACGAAACAGAGGTTATTCCCATCGTTTCTGCGCCTGCTCTTGGACGAGGTCTTCGCCAGAAAACAGAATCTGTAAAACTAAAGACTATGTTACGTACAATGTCGTGTGTCTCAAGATCCCCATCACGCTCCTCCCGACATCATCTCAGTCCTCCTCGGTCCAAGGTAACTCACTCTATCCTCTCTCTCATTTCATCTCAGATGAATCTTTCTCGCCGAACCAGCGAGCTTTCTTTGCAGCTATTACGGCGGGAGATGAGCCCAAAAGTTTCAAAGATGCTGTTCAGATCAAAGTTTGGAATGATGCAATGGGTTCAGAAGTTGATGCCTTGGAGTTCAAGAAAACCAAGTATAACTCTGACGGGACGATAGAGAGATATAAGGCTCGACTTGTAGTTCAAGGCAACAATCAGATTGCGGGCGAGGATTATGACGAGACGTTCGCTCCGGTGGTCAAAATGAATATTGTACGGACAGTTCTTCGCACAGTTGCAGCAAATAATTGGGAGGTTTATCAGATGGATGTGCATAACGCTTTTCTTCATGGGGATCTCGAGGAAGAGGTCTATATGAAACTTCCGCCAGGCTTCAGGCATTCTCATCCCGGCAAAGTTTGTCGGCTCCGGAAATCCTTGTATGGTCTAAAACAAGCACCTCGTTGTTGGTTTAAGAAATTTCTGATGCTCTGCTCCGCTTCGGCTTTGTGCATCTTATGATGACTACTCTTGTTCTCTTATTCGTCTAAAGGTATTAAACTTCGAGTGTTGGTGTATGTTGACGATTTAATAATATGTGGGAATCATGAGTATATGATTCAGAAATTCAAAGACTACTTGAGTCGCTGTTTCTCCATGAAAGATTTAGGCCGCCTCAAATACTTTCTTGGCATTGAAATCTCTCGAGGTCCAACAGGAATGTTTCTTTCTCAACGAAAGTATGCTTTGGACATTATCGCTGAAACTGGAAATCTCGGGTCTCGCCCGGCTGCGACTCCTCTCGAGCAAAATCATCAACTTGCCACGGTTGACAGTCCACTTCTCGATGATCCTAAGAAGTACCGTCGTCTACTAGGGCGTCTGATTTATTTACTCAACATAAGGCCGGAGCTGTGCTATTCGGTCCATTTGCTGTCTCAGTTTATGCAAGCTCCCAAGTTGGCTCACTGGGAAGCTGCTATACGTGTTGTCCGTTACCTCAAGGGTTCCCCTGGTCAAGGCATTTTTCTTCACTCCGATCCCGATCTTACTCTTACTGTGTATTGTGACGCAGATTATGATTCATGCCCTTTGACTCGTCGTTCCCTTAGTGCTTTTGTTGTTATGCTTGGAGGCTCTCCGGTGGCTTGGAAAACTAAAAAGCAGGATACAGTTTCACATTCTTCCGCTGAAGCAGAGTATCGTGCCATGGCCGTTGCTCTTCGCGAGATAAAATGGTTCCGCCGTGTTCTGTCTGATCTTGGAGTCGATCAGTCTCAACCAACTCGCTTGTTCTGTGACAACAAAGCAGCTATACATATTGCCTCAAACCCTGTCTTCCACGAACGCACCAAACACATAGAAAAGGATTGTCATGCGGTTCGGGATGCGGTTCAGGAAGGAGTCATTGTCACTGATCATGTCCGTTCTGAAGAGCAACTCGCGGATATACTTACTAAGGCACTTGGCCGTGCGCCATTTGAGTATTTGCTGTCCAAGTTGGGCGTTCAAAACCTTCACGCTCCAACTTGAGAGGGAGTATTGAGAATAAATGTGATATAGTTAAGTTTCCTATTTCATTATGTTAGGATAATGTCAAGTTTCCTTGTTTAAAGGAGTTTAGGGTTTTCTAGCTCCAAAGACTTGTTGTATAAATACCCAAGTTTGGGAGAATGAATGGACAAGTCAGTTAAACACATTATTCTACAATTCACCATTTTATTGTTTTTTATTGGGACCTCTAACATTACATAATCAAGTTACCAAGCAAATCACAAAACCATAATAATAGTTACTGGTTACAAACGATTACACTGAAAGTTTTAACCATACAAAATAAAAAGCTCAGATCAAATCCACAAGTACAGCTTGTGTAAAACCCCAAGAACACACACAACGCAAAATATAGAGAGATTCAACAACATACTATCTATAAGTAGATGCCAGAGGTCCAGATAGCGCTGGACAGATAAAGCTCCCAAAGAAACACCATTGTAATGGAAGAAGGAAAGCTTGTAGAGGCATTCAAGATTGGTTAGAGAAATGTCCAACGCCGAGTTTCTGAGCTTCGATTTTAAGTGACTTGAGGTACTGAACAGCTTCGTCAAGAACGGAAGCTGTATTCATCTCTTCTCCTCCAGGGACAATTCTCCGCAACACTCCCATCATCTTCTTCATCTTCTTCCTTCCTTTCCCATCATTGTTATTACAACTAGCGCTCCCCGACAAACTCTTACTCTGCTTCTTCTTTGAGCTCTTGTTATAGCCATAGCTGGAGCAGCAGGATTCAGCTGAGTTGTTACCATAATCCCTGGAAGAGTTGCGAGTTGTGCTTACCTCTTCCGAATCACCCTTCTCATCCTCATCATCATCATCTTCGTAATCTTCATCTGTGCTCAAGAGTGCATCAATCTCATTCGGATCCTCTTGATGAGAAGTGGAGACTCCTCCTTGCTCAAAGTTACCATAACTTTCCCCAACATACTCGTTCTGGAACGTAGTAGCTAATCCGTTCAACGACGGGGAGCTCATGAGCTTATGAGTCAGGTCAGGATGGTACATGACTTGGCTGCGGTCGTATGTCTGATCGAAAATGACAAAGTTCCTTGGACAGACCGCAGATGGCTGAAGCTCGACACCATGGAATGGCAACTTCGCACATGGTGGGAACAAACCATCAAAGGACGACCCTGACCCTGACGCGTAAGGGTTGTTCCTATCTCTCTCACCCATTTCGTCTGACCAGTAAGGAAACTGATTGTTCTGCATCACAAACGCCGTGAAACACAAGGAAACAAAAACAAGTCCTAAAAACTGCTGAGCTGCTCGGTTACTACTAGTAATGGAAGCAAATGCTAAATCAAGTTATGGCCATCATACTGAAGATATCCGCCAGAGACCTTACCCCCACCCCCAAACCAGAAGCTTCCCCTCCCCACAACAGAGTTCAGATGTCAACACAGCTCCTCACAACAGCAGAGACTCTTAATATCTCAACAAACTTCTTTTCGAAATCAAAAGTAGATAGCCGCCCAAAACCCCCAAATTTCCGGAAACTCCAGACACCAGACTACGTTACAGGCTTAAGCAACTGTCTGAAATATTCTGCCTGCAAAGATTAGAAAAAAAAAAAAGAAAGAACGGTTGAATATGAGACACACTATGGCTAATAAAACTAATAACCAAAAACATGTAGAAGAAACATCTATTAGGCTATAAGATAAGGAAAAAAGATTGAGAGAGGGGCAAGTACCTGACAAACTTGAACGGATTGGTAATTAGCAATGAAACATGTAGTCATCATAAAGGTTCCTATTTCCTTCAATGATCGGTTTCCCTTCTTGTTTCCAACAATGCACATTCTCACACTAACCAAAGTAATATAGGAACAACTAGAAAGAAGCTACGGAGACAACGCCTGCAACACACAAGAGAGGTATGCCAGATACTAAATTAACACAACAAGCTGTAAAACACAAAATATGTAGGATAATGAAGAGCTCCTTACCTGAGAGGATCAAATTTACAGAATCACGAGGAAAAAGACAACCAGACGAGTGCAAGTCCTGTTGAAAAACATGAAGAAGGACGTCCACGGCATCTTGATTCTTCCACTATTAAATTACTTATTTTTCTCACAGACTGCACAAACAAACATATTTTAGGATTTAGGACCAACGCTATTCAAAAATATAATCACAGATATGAATTTAAAAGGCACTAAAATCGAGGTATGGAAAAAACCAAAAATGTCTATTTGGAAAAACAGAAAACAGAGAGCGGATGTTTATTTCATGATTGAGAGTCCAAACAGAAAGCTAAGCCAAAACAGAGCATCATGACCAAACACATTAACATCGGATCTAGGATATATATCACCAAGCAAAATCAAGATAAACATATTAAAAACAGAGCACAAAATAGGATCTTCACGTGATCATGAATGGTTTATTCAGAAAAAAGAAGCAGAATGATAATTAATAATTATTCATAAACCACTTCAGAACATTCAATAGACAAAAAAATTCGAAATTCACTCGTGGAATATTATAGCGATCATCTGAGGAAAGAAATATACGATAACATAGCTAGTAAAGTGATCAAACGAGCTCAAAATTACCATCAAAGTAATAAGAGATTAGAAACAATTTAAAAAGACAAAAACCCTAAGTCAGAAATTGCGGCGGAAGAAAGAAGCAACATCATACCGTAGAAATCAAAAAATCTTTTTGAGTAAAGAAGATCAGATGAAATGACTATCTTTCTGCGTAAAACTTAAGCTCAAGCTTGATCAAAATTCGGAAGAGGAAGAGGTTGTTGTTGCTGTGGAAGATCTAGAGAGAGAGAATCAGATAAAAGGGAGGAGAAATAGGAGTAAGTGACAGAGAGCGTGGCTTTCTTTTTCTGGTGCGGTTTGTTTGTTTTTGTTTGGTTTGTCCATTTTCATTTTTAATCACAAACATTTGTTTAAAGTTTTTTTTGTTTTTTAAATTCCTTGCACGCTTTTTGTGCGTGAATCTACTTGTTTTTTTTTTTTAATAATAAGCAATCAAAAAGAGATTAAACTTTAGTGGAATTTTGGGAAATATCAATTTTTTGCACTCCTATTAATTTGATTCATCCAAGAGAGAAAATCTTGGACAAAATATGTCTTTTTACGAGTTAGATTAGATAAAAAATCTAGGAGTCGATGACATATTAGTGGTGATTAAAATAATCTTAATAATTTCATCCCCCAAAATAAATAAAAGTGTCCAATATATTTCTTTGCTTTTTTCACATTCCAATTAGCTTTATTAACTCATAATAAAAGTATATAGCCCAAAACTGCTAAATACATTAGGATGACAACATGAATGGCGTAACCATGTATATTACATTATTACTACATCATCTACATGTAGATATAGAAGTCGTTTTTGAATGGGAAATAAGAAATTAAAAATTTTAATACAAAAGTTTTCTTAAAACAATAATATAGATGGTTTGGATAAAAATAAATAAATAGCGGTAATGGGAAGGGAAAAAAAAGGAGGGAGCACGCGTGAGAGGATGGACAGAAGAGAGTCAAACACGGGGAGTGTGAGCCGTTGGATGAAACAATCTGAGTGGTTTCCGTTTAATGCGGGCATGATGGTGACCGTAGGATTGCGAGAGCACGCGTGAAAAGCTTTGTGGGCCCCTACCAAAGTCTTCTTTGACAATTAATTTTGTTTGTGAATTGTGACGACAACAACAACAAAATAATGTAATAATCGACAATACTCACTCACTTCATCTCGGGCTCTTGCCCCAACCCATACTTCGTTCGAAGAAATAATACTTATTTCGAAACCGAACTCATGATTTTTCTCTGTACAATTGAGCTGTAATAATTATAGGTTTCTAAAAAAAACAAGACAAAAGAATTGAGAGTTCTGACTCATTGTTGGCATGCGGTTTTTCTCTTTCACTAGTTTGATTTGATTGGTAGCCATAAACAATTACGAACACAGTTTAAAATTCACCGTTTGTTTTGCTGCTAATCACGCAAACAGTAAGTAAGAATATAATATTTGGTAGGAAAGTAAACATTTGGCAATAAGTACATGACGAATAAATTAACCGTGTCCATATACGAATCGTGTGGTTTAACTTAAATCATAATTTGGAATACTAGTAGTTTCTAAGTGCCACATTTCTTTGAACTGAAGCTATAGATCGGTAGATCCAAACATTTGAACTGAGGCAATAGATTCAATCATACAAACATGGTTTGAGGGTGGATCAAACCATGTCTCTTCAATGACACAAAGACTAATTAAAGTTAATAGGAAATGAAGTCCCACGCTTGTTGTTGCAAGAACAATTGTATTCTTTTTGTAGTCACTGATTTAAATTATGATTATTTTATGTTAATTTTTTGTGACTATGTTTTGAATTAACCTAACTACGCATGTTAAAGATTTTCAATAATTTTTTTAGATAGGATGCTAACTCTATACTAATCTCTCGTTCATTTTTCTAAAAATTTAACATTTTAAATATTTTACTTATTCAGTTTCATTAGATTATATGTTATTATTGAACTCGAAAAAATAAGTTCACATTTTGACTTGAAATTGAAATATAGTAAAATACATATTTGCTTTTTATGTGCATTAACGTTTGATCATGATAATTATTGATTCTTAATTATATACAATTTTAGTTTGGTAAATTTAAATTGTATTTTAAAATAGACATGTCATAATCCTTAAAATTTACAGTTTTTGCTTCTAATTTCTATTTAGCTTTCTACTATGTTATCTCAGTTATCTAATATTTAAAGTTGAACATACTCTTTTCTCAAGCTACCAGGGGGTCTAAAAATTTGACATATAAGAGCATCTCCAACCCAACCCTATATTTCATCTTTATTGTCATTTTGGAGTCAATTTTGCTCCAATCCAACCCCATTTTCAATCTCAAAATGGCAAAATGCCATATTTTTTCCCAAATTGAGATTGATCCCATTTTCATCTCCATTTTGGAGTTGAAGTTTTTAAATTATATAACAGTCCTTGAAGTTATAAATTATTTTAGTTTATATATATTTAATTATTTTGATGTTTATTTTTACTCTAAAATGCAAATAACACATATTTAATAAGAAAATTAATTATTTAAGGTAATAATAAATTTAAATAGAAAGGAAATTTTGTTGATTAGAAATAACATCAAAAATAAATTTATTAAAACAACTATTATTGATCAAGTTTGTGTTCTTATTTTTAGTCTTGTAATAATGTATTATTAATATTTTATTAATTAACAATTTGTGAAATTTTTGAAAAAAAAATATAGGGCAATTTGTAATATATATAAATATACAAAGTAAATTTAGTAATTAATAAAAAGTTTTGAAGTAAAAATTGAGGCAATACATTGGAGCAAAACCCAACTCCATTTTGAGATTTCTTCATTTTGGAGTCAAATATGGAGCAATACATTGGAGATGCCCTGAGTATATAATCCTTTTATTTTATATCTTTATTTCAAGTTCTATTTAATTCTTATAATAACTAGCATTCTTTATTAGAGGTGAAATTAGCACATTTCCTTGAACCTGTCACAATTAGTAACATCATAAAGACCCGGTCGTCTCCAACTTCAACCTCCTCAAATAAACGACAAATATTGAGAAAGAAGGCCAAATCTTTGGCAAAATGTGAACAAAGATATATGCCGACTCGAAGAATGGAAAGAAATCAAGAACAAGATGAAGTTTTCCAATTTTATAAAGAGGAAGATATTCGTCGAGAAGAGGACCTCCGATATATAGAAGACCTCTAATTTCTTGGAAAGGATCCAAAATTCTCTGCGGTCACACCTAGCAATAACAACTCTTTTATTTCACTTTTCTCTTGTTATCGTGTTTCGTCTCGTCAAGGCCTATTTGATGAGACCCCTCTTTGTAATCTGATACTTCTTCGAGTAATAAAGTCTCCAGTTGCCAAAACCCGCATCTTTGATAGCTCGTCGCTAAGCACATGCTATCTCAGATTCAACAATAGGCGCCGACTGTGGGGACTGGGAACACTTCTCACCAACTTGAAGCTCGAAGAAGTCTTCAGATTCTAAGAAGACAACTGATGTCTAACTCAAATGATAACACCCCGACAGAAGCCCTCACTGAGACCCAAAGGACCCTAACGGCGATAAAGACCCATGAACAGTGGAGAAAGCCTGACGCGTGGAGGATACGAGTCCATCGAGGAGCCGATCCCTCTCACCATCCAGAAGCAAGTCTACACCACCTGCGTCCAATCGATGCGCTCACAGAGACTTCCCCTCAAGCAAAGAGCTCCTTGAGACGATCCGGAGCGCCATGAAGCCACTCGCTGATAGCGTTAAATCGATACGAGCCAGCAGAAGAAGATCGACGCAATGGCGCTGGAAGACGGCGAGCTATCACCGTCTCGTAAACTCCCATTCGACAAACCGACAGGTCAAGCCACGGGGACCACGGCAGCAGAAGCAACTGCCAATGCAACGGAGCGACGAGTCGACCTGTATAAATCGCCGAACGAACCTCTTTGGAATTTGAGCAAATCAACCATCGACTTTTCTTTCTCCTTGACGAGCTGATGTCAGATACAAGAAAAAACCATTACAGACGATTAATCTGTCTTGACAATCTGATATCAAGTCCATGATAAATTGTTTAAATGCACAATTTTTTTGCGCATTAGATGATGTCAACGTAATCTTTTCCCTTTTTATGGGTTTTTCCGTATTAAGGTTTTAACGAGGCAGCACGAATCTGAGTTCAAATAACACAAAACCGCACCGAAGATGAGATGGCATTAGCAGTGCGCGATTGTTACTAATAGCTCTCAAGTCCGTTCTTAATTCATGAAGTTCGCCGATATTAAATTGCATTTGACTCGACGAGCTGGGGGGACTTATTGTTAAATGTGAAATTAGCACATTTTCTTGAGCCCGTCACAATTAGTAACAACAAAAAGACCAGGCCCGTCTTCAGCCTTAACCTCCTCAAAAATCTAGAGAAGGAAGGCCAAATCTTTGGAAAAAAGTAAAGAGAGATATATGCCGACTCGAATAATGGAAATAAATCAAGAACAAGAGGAAGTTTTCCAATTTTATAAAGAGGAAGATATTCGTCGAGATGCCAACCTCCAATCACTATGTATAAAAGACTCCTAATTCCTTAAGAAGGATCCAAAATTCTCTGCAATCACACCTACCAATACCAACTCTTTTATTTCACTTTTCTCTTCTTCTCGTACTCCGTCTCGTCAAGGCCTATTTGACGAGACACCATCTTTGTAATTTGATACTTCTTCGAGTAATAAAGTTTCCAGTTCCCAAAATCCGCATCTTGATATCTCATCGCTAAACATGTGTTATCTCAGATTCAACATTCATTATTATAATAATTTAGCTAGAATTTGAAAAACATAATTTATATAAAAATATAATTCATATACCAATGTATACAAACAATTTTATCAAATTGATCACACAATTTTAAAAAATATTTATCTTTCAAGTGAATATATTGAAATATTAATAACTAGAATGACTCAAAAATTTGAGATCGGTATACAAGAATACATATAATAAACAAAAAATACATATTACATTAGAAATACATATCCCTAATATATTAAAAGAGAAAACACTAACTAAATAACCTTTGTCTAATGTGTTATTAACAAGAATGTCATTGCTTAGGTGTCATCACTAGGTTCACTCTTAGAGCAATTTCTAATTAAGACAAGCTTTACTAGACAAATTACAATATATGCCATTGCATATTATGCTTACAACCAAATAATGAAATTAAATTTATCATTCTCTTTCCTTAATTGGCAACTACGAAAATTAGTAAATAAGGAAGATATGAGATTCAATTTAATTTATCATAATAATTTCTTTTAAAATCAGTATACATCTTCTATCATCTTTGTTTAAATTTATTTAATAAAATAATTTGAATCACAATATAAAAAATCTATCAAAAAAAATCTAAAACTTTTTCTGTACATGTTATGATTTGAATTTTTAAAAACAAAATAATATAAATTGTTTCGTATATAACCTCATTTAGTAGGTATCCAAAGGTAATTTTTTTTTTCATTTAATATGGTTTTTTAATTAAAATCTATAATAAATCGAATAAAAAAGTTCTTTTTATAAATATTTTATTTTGATTAAACTTTTGAATATTACTCTATCTGTTTCAACTTTCTATACAAAATTAATTATATTTTTGCTGTTTTGACAATTTGGATTCTGCATATTATTTTCTGATTGGTTGGATTGTTTTGAAATTATAATAAAGCATGTTTTAGTTTTGAAAGAAAGAAAAAATTAGTTCTAATCCGTGTCCACACAGCTAAAACTTTTTATCTTATGAAATACATGATGTATAATTTTTCTAAAGAATAATGTTTTATTTTCAATTTTTTTTCTTTAAACTATCTTATTATATTATAGTTATTTGAGTTTTATGTATCTCGGTTAAATCTATCATATTTAATATGTGGTTACGATCAATGCTTTAATTTTTTTTTTTTAAATGGATTAAAATGCCTAATTTCCATACTATAAACGAATAACAAAGGTTAAAAATCTCTCGCATAAAATGTCGAAATATTTAAATAAACATTTTTTAATAAAAATACAAATTCAGAAACTATCACCCCGTGCAGGGCACGGGTCAAACCCTAGTTAAATAATATAGCACATACTTATCACATTCTCATAAGATTTATATATTGTAATCGCGATCCTCTGATGTTAATATATTATAGGCAAGAAACTATTTATTTAGATTTGCTTCCTTCATATGGAACAAGAATTTTAAAAAATGGGACGGAATGAGACGAAACAGGGTGGAGAAATGTATGGAAAAGGAAAAAACCGGACGGAATGGGATGAAACATAAAGAAACGGAGCGAGATGGAAAAGATTGGGACAAAGCAAGACAATACGAGAACTATGGCACACTCCTAATTTTATTTAATTAGTAAGTGACATTTTGAAAACACAAAATTAAATTACAAAATTTGATAACCATTGTGGTAAACTAAATATTTTGATAATTTTATAATTTCATATGGATCAAGAATTAAAAATAGGATCTCAAGCTGCCACATTAGCATAAAGGGGGTATAAAAATTTGACACATCAACATAATCCTTTTATTTTTTACATCTTTATTTGAAGTTCCATTTAATTCTTATAATAACTAGTATTCATTAATATAATAATTTATCTAGAATAAAAGATATTTCATATATTAATGTATACAAACTATAATATATTAATAAAATTAGTTTTATAAAATAGAACTTTTTAAAATGTTTATCTTTCAAGTGAATATATTGAAGTATTAATAACTAGAATAACAACTCCAAAATTTGAAATCGATATACAAAAATACATATATTAAAAAACAAAATACATAGTTTATTAGAAATATATAATACATATACATATCACATTCTCCTAGGGATCCTCTGATGTCAATATATATAGGCAAGAAAATATACTTCTAGCAACCTAAACAACATGTTCAGTTTAAACAATGCAAAACATACAAATTTTATTATTCTCTTCTTCGGCTTTGATTCCGCGATCACTTAAACCTTTTACCTGCAATACATTATAAAAGAGTTTCGTAAGTATTATCATAAATACTTAGTGAGACGATCACTCTGCCTACAAAATAATTACACAATTACTATGCAATTAAATAATAATAATAATTCTCATAATTATTAAAATACATTTTCTCAATTACTAAATAATTCTCATAATTAAATAATAATTTCTAACACTTAAAATAATTTCCATAATTATTTTATACCCATTATTTAATTTAATTAAGCAATAATTAATTAATTATCGAATTAAACCATTAACCAAATTAAACCATAATTTATTCAATTAAACAGACATGAACCGGACTGTGTCGAGCGACACCCGCTTGGTGTCGGTCGACACATGACCACTTGGTGTCGCTCGACACCAGCTCGACAATCCGACGCCAAAACAAGTGAAACAACTCAGAAATACCAAATCCACCACAATCAACAGCCAATAATAAGAAATAACTCGAATACATCATGGACTCATCAAGAACAGCATCAAGCAATCATGAATCTAGCAATTTGCGAGTCTACAGTCACGCACTCACCTTGACAAGGAATTGAAACAGAGAAAGGAGATGAAAACGACGAAGAACAGCAACAAGGAGGCTCAGATTCGACCCAGAACACCACCAAATCACCGAAATCGCCTCTCTTCCTCTTCCTCAGCTCACAAAACGACAAAACTGTCCAAGTGCTCGACGGCTGCAGCTTTTTAACACGAGAACCAGGGTTTCCAACCTTTAACCGACCAAACCGAACCACTTAAATCAAACCGGGTTTGATTTTGAAATCGTTGTGTCGACCGACACACTTCTCTTGTGTCGCTCAACACACTCCAGAAACTCAAAGATTGGTTTACGGATGTTACAACTCTCCCCCACTAAACTGGATTAGTCCTCGAATCCCAACACAAAACGTCTCTCAAAGACCACGAAACGCGACCTCACAAGGTCTTAACACTGGAGATCCTCACCTGATCCCCAGGAGACACTCCCTTCCTAGGTTATAAGCACGTTCCAAGACATTTTCACTTCTAACTCATCACGCAAAACCACTTGTCCTGAGGCCCACTTGCACCTAGACAAGTCCACACCGGCTCGCACTGTGGCCCACTTGCACCCAGGGGTGTCTGAACCGCTTATACCGAGGCCTACTTGCACCCATATAACCTACTCAAAGCATGGCCTACTTGCACCCAGTAGAGTCTGCAAGAGAACCACCGTCTCCACAACCGTAATGAGTTATTTAGAACCGCAGCCCTTAGAGTAAAAATCTGGATAACGTATATAACAATAAGATTAGACCATCTCACGACCAAACTGGTCAAACACTAGTAACATCCCAAACCATTTTCAACAAACAAGACAAAATGAGAAAAAACTGCATCTTATATAACTCCAATAATATATATCTTTACAACCAAATCGAAAATACAAATACATAGCTCAAAAACCCTAACAATTAGGAACTACAAAAATGAAAGAAGCTCACTCCACGACCAGCTTGTCGAACCACTTCCTGAACTTCAATTTCATTTTTGCCTCAGACTCCTAAGTCTCCTCCTGCGAACCACTGCAATCCCACAAAACTCTCAGCAAAGGGATCCTCTTGTTCTGCAGAACCTTATCTCTCCTCTCAAGAATCCTCATAGACACTGTCGGAACTGTCAAATATGGCCTAAGATCCTCATGAATCTTAGGCACTAACTCCTCTAAAAGGTGAAGACACTTCCTCAACATCGACACATGAAACACCTTATGAAAGGTAACTCCAACCTGTACACCAACGACCCAACTCATTCCCTTAACATAGCCATCTTGAGATACACTCTATCTCCAACCTGAAATGCAAGCTCTCGTCTCAATCTATCTGCATAACTCTTTTGCCTATCCTGAGCCTCCTTCATGTTCAACCTCACAATGCGGACCTTCTCCGTCGTTTCCTGAACATAAGTGGCTCCATACATGCTGCTCTCCCCCACTTGGATCCAGCATAGGGGTGTCCTACATGACCTCCCATACAAAGCTTCAAATGGAGACATGCCAATACTCGCCTGAAAGCTGTTGTTGTATGGAAACTCAACTAAGCTCAGGTGATATGCCCAATGGCCACCCCAATCCAAAACACACATCCTCAGCAAATCCTCCAAAGTCTGGATAGTCCTCTCTCACTGCCCATCTGCATGCGGAGGATAAGCTGCACTCAAATTCACCTTAGTGCCCATCTATGCCTGAAACGCCCTCCAAAACTCTGAAGTGAATCTGGAATCACGGTCTGACACAATACTGGTTGGCACTCCAAGCAGCCTCACAATCTCTCTCACAAACTTGCTAGCCAAAACAGAAGCTCCATTGTCTTCTTAATGGCCATAAAATGTGCGGACTTGGTCAACCGATCCACAATCACCCATATAGCATCATAAATCCGTGAGATAGGTAATCCCACAACGAAGTCCATAGTGATCCCGTCCCACTTCCACTTTGGAATGGGTAAACTCTGCAGAAGACCACGGCGAAACACTCGGCCAAATGAACCACTTAGACAAAAGGTCCTCTATCTGCTTCTTCAGCTCTGCCAACTCTGCTGGCGCCATCCTGTAAGGCGTCTTAAATATCGGTGCTGTCCCCAACTCTAGCTCAATCGTGAAAGGATCAGACCGAGATGGTGGTAATCCCTTTAGTGATTGAAACACATCCTCAAAGTCCTGGACAACCCGGATATCACCCATAGCAACTCCAGCTCCCGAGTCCGACATAGAAATCATCGCCAGATACGCCTCACAACCCCGCTCCATCATCTGCTCAGCCTGAATATCATATATAACAATACTCTCGGAAGTCGGCCTCACTCCCTAAAGCACCAACCTCCCTGCATCTCGCTCAAAGACCACTATGTCTTTGTAGCAATCCATATGAACTCTGTAGTATGACAACCAGTCCATATCGAGAATAACGTCATACAGCTCCAGCGGACTGATGACCAAATTTGCTGGCATCGACTGCCCCGCAATCTAAATATTGACTCCTCTAGCACAGCCCGAAGTAGACAAGAATCCACCTCCTGCCACCTTGACCATGTATGCGCCCTCACAAGCACAACTCCGGATGCCACTCCTCTTTGCATGCTCCGGTGTAATGAAGCAATTCAATGCTCTAAAGTCAAATAACACATGGGACCCATAACCGCCCACTAACAAGGTACCTAAACATTCAAATGTGTTGAGAACCTTGTTATATAAACTGGAATATAGACAACCTTATTATATAAACTCGGATGCGCGCGACCTAATTGCGACACATATGATTTTTATAATTTACCTAATCACATGTGTCACTTTTAGCTTTATGGCTGTTAAAATTGTGAGATGTGTCATGAAAAAAAATTAATAAAGAAAAAAATTTGAAAAGAGATAATTGTATCCATTATAGTAAAAGAATTTTTTTTTATCATATCCTAACACAAAAAAGTTTCCCATTCATCAAATATATATTATTCAAACACATATTAAATTAAAATATACAAAATCCTATTAGTACATTGAATAGGTAAATACATATTAAATTCAATTAAAAATAATCTTATTAGTAGATAGAACATGTTACATTAACTAATATTAAATTCTTAATAATGTATTAAAATAAAATCTTATAACTGCATGAAATATGTTACGTGAACCCCTATAATAGGTTATCGTGACATGTGTCAACTTTAATTTTATTCATATTAAGACTTTGATATGTGTTTTGAAAGAAAAAGGAAAAAACAAACTATTTAAAAATATGTTAACAAAAAGAAAACGAATATTTGCAATATTCTAACGGAAAAAAGTGTTCCATATTATTACGGAAGAAGAAAAAAGTATTTTGCATACCTCATATTCTAAGATTAAAGAAATGGGAAAAAATATATTTCCATATTCAAACTGCAAAACAGAAAAAGGTTCCATATTCGACCGGAAAAAGGGAAAAAAAAAAGATATTTGCATGCATTATATTCTAAGATATAAAGGTTCCATATTTTCACTGAAAAAGAAAAAAATAAACAAGAATACACAATTTAAGTTTTAGTGCATTTTATGTCATTCAGAGATTTCTTATCGGGTTCACAATATTATATTTTACTTATTTTTAAGTTTTGGAAATTTGTTTCAAAATTTTAAAATAAATTCCCCGTATACGATGGGTTTATCTAGTTAAATAATAATTTTCAACACTTAAAATAATTTCCATAATTATTTTAGACCCATTTATTAATTTCATTAACCAATAATTAATTAATTATCAAATTAAACCATTAACCATATTAAACCATAATTTATTCAATTAAACCAACACTGGCATGTGTCGAGCGACACCCACTTGGTGTCGCTCGATACGGGCTAGACAGTCCGACGCCAAAACCAGTAATACAACAGAAAAACACCAAATCCACCACAATCAAAACCCAATAACACGAAATAACTCGAATACATCATGAACTCGTCAAGAACAACATCATCAAGCAATCACAAATCTAGCAATTTGCGAGCCTACAGTCACGCACTCACCTTTGACAAAGGAGAAACAGAGAAAGGAGATGAAAACGACGAAGAAGAGCACCAAGGAGCCTCAGATTCAACCCAGAACACCACCAAATCACAGAAATGCCTCTCTTCCTCTTCCTCAGCTCACAAAACGACAAAATTGTCCAAGAGCTCGACGGCTGCAGCTTTTTAACATGAGAACCAGGGTTTCCAACCCTTAACCGAGCAAACCGAACCACTTAAATCAAACCGGGTTTGATTTTGAAATTGTTGCGTCGATCAACACACTTCCCTTGTGTCGCTCGACACAACCTCCAGAAACTCAGAGATTGGTCTACGGATGTTACAACAAAGGAACCAAATTTCCATATTTACGTCATGGTTCATGTCTCAGTATTCAAACCTCTTAACGACTCAAGTTTACAAAATCTCCTAAGTCACATGATCACATAATTTCCTAAGTGAAATACACTAAACAAACTCAAATGATATAATCTCATATGCTAGTTAATGAGATCACATACATGTTAATATGGAAGACTAGCTGCTTTATAGTGATAGAATCAAATGATATTAGGTTACAAAACTGTGTTAAAGATCAGTGGTTACAAATCATCAAAATGGTTTACAAAGGTCACTCAGATATTCATAAAAGCTGAAGGAGAGAAATAAGATTACAAAACATCACATTGCAAGTCTAAACTAGGCCTGGGCATAATCACCGAACCCAAAATACCCGACCCAAATCGAACCGAAATACCCGAATCGAACCAAATCGAAAACTTAAAAATACCTGATTGGGTTTTCAGGCTAAGTAACTTCGGGTATCGGGTAATGGCTGAACCGAACCAATACCCGAAGTAGACCCGAAATAACCTGAAAATTTTGGCATTTGTACTCATAATACAAGTTTTGTTTTTTACGGAAAAATGTAATTTCCTTTATATGAAAAAGTTGACAAAGTCAGAGTTTAAGCATTCTGAAAGCCACAAATAAAACACATCTCCTCCAACTGTTGACCAACAACTCTAATAAAACCTTGCAGTTAAACCGTCTGGACCCAGAGCTCGGTCAGCCCCAATGGAGAATAAAGCATCTTTGGTTTCCTTCTCAGTAATCTTGCTAGTGAGGCTTGTGTTCATCGCTTCTGTAACTGTTGGTACAAAATCATGGAAGATGTTATCTTGACAAGACTGATTCTTCCTCGAATAAACTCCTTTGAAGAATTCCTCAGCATGATGACCAATCTCTAAATCTCGTCTGTAAAGATTACCATGGACATCTTTAACTGAAACAATTATGTTTCTTGAAAATCTTGTTTTAGTACAAGCTTGGAATTTTTTTGTATTACGATCTCCTTCTTCTAGCCATGTATTTCTGCTTTTTTTTGTTTTCATTATGAGTCTTCATCTCTATAAGCTTGTGCTAGATCCCTTTATATTTGTGAAATGTCGTTCTAATTTGTGTTGGAGTTGACAAGAGCAAATTCCAACTCAATTTGAAGCTCCTCAGTGCATTTTGCCGCCATTTAACTTTGAATTTCGTCGACAACAACGTGCCATTGACTTTCTGCACTCATGAATTCTTTCTGATATTGAGAGATTCACTCTCATGTTGGGTGAGTTCGAACCATCCCTCACATAGTCATCAAACTCTTTTATCTGTAGTAGCCTTTTATACAAACGGAAACATTTTTTTCCGGTTTTTCTCTGTAAAAGCGATTGTTGTGATAACAGGCCTATGATCAGAGCCATACAAACCCAAAAACTCTGCCTCTGATGCTGGAAAAGAGGCAATCCATTTTGAGTTTGCAATAACTCTGTCAAGACAGCATTTAACCATATAGTTTCTTCGTTTTCCTGCCCATGAAAACCTGTATCCTTTTGATCTTATGTCTAGTAAATCACAGTTACTAAACATTATACAAAAATCCATAAATTTTCTCTCATATCTTGTAAGTCCTCCAATTTTTTTATTACCTGAAAGGATTTCATTGAAATCCCCTAAAATTAACCAATGACCATGTCTTGTGTTATTGATATCCTCTATTCTTTTCCAAAGACCAATTTTTTTTCTTTGTTTGGATATTCAATAAACACATGACAAATAGAAACACATTCCATTATAACTAATAGAAACATCAATCATCCTTTCATCGTTACAACACCTAACAACATCTACATCTTTTTACCAAAGCAAAGCTAAATCCCCACTTCTACCAAGTGAAGCAATCTTTATGGTGACAGTGGGGGTACCCCCGCGCAATATGAATAAATGGGTGAGCAAGAACTATGAGATTCATAACCGGTTCTTTGCTCAAAACCAGTTCGTTTGATTAGACATGGACGAAAACAACGACACTGCCATGTTCGTTTCATGGTCGCTGCGACCAGCGTCAGCGGCAACATTAATGATATTTGGAAAGCAAGATTTGTGGAGAGTATACAGTTCGGAGTTAATATTAAAGACTCTATTTATGGACAACAATCTGGTCACTGAAAATTCTAGCGTCAGCTGCGGCTCCTTTCAATGGCAGTTGCGACTCTTTTAACCTCAACATGGACCCCTTTTTCTCCCACCACCACCTCTGTCAGCGTTTTTTTCTCTTGCCGCTGACGCTGGTCGCAGCGACCATGAAACGAACATGGCAGTGTCGTTGTTTTCGTCCATGTCTAATCAATAGATTCAATATTTCGAATTATCAATAAGGAAAAACGCAAGAGAAACCGTTAACACATGATAAACCGTCAAAAATCAATCATGACCACAAAACCTTTTAAAAAAATCTGTTAAACATAATAATACATAAGGTGGTAAGCCCGCGCATGCGCGGGCATGAGTTGTTTTGAAAATAAAAACATCTATAAGCAAAAAAAAAAAAATTCATAATTCAAACATTACAATAATTTTTCTAAAACACTGAAATAAAAAGAAAACTATCTATAATATAATTTAAATATTCAAACCATATCAAACGTTTTAGAAAACTTCTTTATATCATTTGATCTTTATAATTTAGTTTAAAACTTATTTAGGTGATGGTCACGCACCTTGTCCGGGTATAATATTTTTTAAAAACATTAATTATTTATATAAGTAGTAAATTTATGTTGTATTTCATTTATTTTATTTTTGTAATTTTGATGTCTTATTTTTGTCTTCTCTTTCTCATTTTTCAACATAATCCTCTTCATTTGTTTATAGAGACAAAAAGATTTCCACTTCTTGTTTCTTCTCCCTCTTATTCTTCTCCAATTATCCCATCTTCTTCTTTTTCTTTCAATTTTATGCTCATTCTCATCATCTTTTTCTTCTTCTTCCAATTTTCTTATGTCTTCATATCCTCCAACTCACTATTCTACATTTTCTTTCAATTTTTTACATTATTTTCCGGTTTTTCTTCTTCCTCATTCCCCCTCTCTCTACCTTTATCATCTTCGTTTTTCTAACATCATATTTTCTAGTTTTTATTT